GCAGACAATATCTGAGAGTTTCCACTGAGACCAGTACATGAGAGTTAGAATTTAGAAGATTAGGAAATGTTGGAACTTATAGGAGAAAAGGTTCTGTCACATTGTATCATCCCTTTCATTGCAAGTATAAAGGAGTTAAAATTGAGGCAGGCAGAGTATTTTCTGATATTGTCTGAGGAAGCAAAGACACAACACAGTAAAAATGGGTTCTTATTCTCATATGAAGGCTTTCTCTAGGCCTGCATTTATACAGTAATTGTGCAAAGCAAGGCTTATGTCAATCCTGAGTGTTAATGTGCCTATGTGCATGTGTACTACACATGCAAGCATGTTTCAGTAGAAAGAGAATACCTCAGGGCACTCGGTGTCTCATGACATGCCTTTCCCATGTTCGTGAGAAGATTAATAGGATTAGATTAACAAGCATCAGTTCTTTGTTAGATTAGGAGTTGTGTAAGACTGTTGGTAAACGCTGAATGTTTTCATAAACAACTTGAAAATTAAAATACATTTATTTAATCTCTGTATATCTCAGATTTTAATATGGAAAATCTAGGTTCCAAATAGCTACCTCCTATGTCTATTATGAAGATTAAATGAAATAAATATGTGAAAATATTATCTGGTAGACAAATCCTAAATAAACGGTATCCATGTTATCCTCCTTTCCTTTTCTACACACACACACACACACACACACACACACACACCACATCAGTTTTCTGAGGATCTAGTTTAAAGCATCTTAAGGTAGGAGGGTCTGTCCTGTGTTCACATGATAACCACATTATGTACTGGCTATCAGACAGTCCTTAAATTTTCTTGCCTAAAGCTGGCCTTGAAAGCTTAACTTTGTGGTTCTGATCCAAGGAAATAGGCTACATTTTCCTTAAAGCTGGTCTGTCCTTCATGAGCCATCTGGCATCTCTTAAAACATCTGGAACTCATTCAAAGTAGTAATATAGTTCTGAAAGGCTTGTAAAATATAATTCGTTTTCCCCAGAATGTGCAGCAAATTGAGGCCCAAGGGACATTTGACACAGGAAGCCACAGGACACAGTCTCACCCCAAGTTCCTTGCTCTTAGAGAAGTTTGGGAAAAGCCAGGTGAGAGCTAGAGGCACTGATACTTTGGAGCGGTGGTTCTTAACCTCACTGGAGTACAGGACAGAAAATCATGGACATTCTTGGGTCAATTATGACAGCTCTCACTCTCCTTCCAGGGAAATAAACAAAAAACAAAAGTAAGGTGACTAAAAACACAGAACCACCGATTTAAATTCGTCACAGACTATCTGCGGCTTCCAAAAAATCCAAACACCGTCTGAAATAATCTACAGGTCTTGTCACCCAAATCGGTGAATTTTTTACCAGTCACAAAGAATAGTACAGAAACAAGTCCATTATCTGTCATCTTCATACACAGACTCCCTTGTCCTGTCTTGCCCATGTTCAGTGCAATGATGGTTTGACAGGACTGTTGATGCAATGTCCATCTAGAAGCATCTTTATTAATTACCATGCTTTCTCAGTTACTTTTCTTGTTGCTGTGACAAAATACCCTGGCAAAAGCAGTTTAAGGAAGGAAGGATTTATTTTGGCTCATGGAAGTTGCAGTCTATCATGTCGGAGAAGTCAAAGCAGCCACACCTGAGGTAGCTGATCACATTGCCTCCAGGTCAAGAAGCAGAGCATGATGGATGCTTGTGCTCAGCTGACCTCTACCTCTTTTTGATGCAGTTCAGGATCCCAGCTCAGGGAATAGTGTTACCCACCGTAGGTAGGTCTTCCCACCTCAGTTAGCCTAATTCAGAAAACCTCTCACTGGTATGCCAGAGACCCATCTCCTAGGGGATTATAGATCTTATCAAATTGAATATCGAAGACTACGCATCACATCTTCTCATTACCTGAGCCAGGCATACATTCAACAGGGCTATAGAACCTCAGTTCCTAAGCATGTAGCCTCAATTTAACACTTTTGGACATCTTCCAAATTCTTCTCCCTTTCAACAATTTTTTTTAACCTAGTGAAGTCAGACTCTCCAACTTCCTCTGGAATTTGGCTGGCACCTTTTTATCATATTTAATTGCTTATATATCTCTGCTACAAAACAGTCCAAAGAGTTCTACTAATTTTGAATCATTCCCTACCTTTAATGCAATACCCACGATTATAATCAGTATTGTATATTTAATATAGAGTTATGTTTGATATATTAATTTCTCAATATGTTCTGGGCACTGTGGTGGGCATTAAGAACAACAGGTGTTATTATTTCAATCCCCTTGTCCCCCAGAAGCTCAAGGAAAAGGCAATGCCATCACCATTCTGTGAAAAGCGAGGATAGCCATGGATTTGAACATACACCTAGACATCAATGTAGATTTGCTTGAAAGTCGTCAAGGTGATTGAGTAAATACTGCACCCTAGTTAGCAGACACGTTTGACAAAGAGAGAGACAAGGGTGGTGGAGAGAGGAGAAAATGACAAGACAGGTGGTCTGCGTCAAAAGGTCAGTATAAACCCAGTCCAGAATGACGGCTGAGGGAAAGCAAGGCCAGTTCCAGGAATGGCTGCAATACAAGTCAGCTCTAGAATGAAAGTGTGAGCTTGGCTATGAAGGGTCTTTCTAAGGACTATGAATTTTATCCTGAACGGCCATAATAATCACTGAATCATATTAAATCAGCAAACAATAGTATCCTATTCGTATTTTTAAAAAGAGAATTCTAATAGAATTCGGAGAACTATTTTGAAGCAAACAAAGCTTGCTTATAGGAGACTATTTCAATAATTCAGCAAGAGGTGATAATAGCTTTTTTAAATGTTTTATTATTTTTATGTGTGTCGGTGTTTGCCTGTATGTATCTAAGTGCACCCATGTCATGCAATGCTTGTACAGGTCAGAAGAGCATGTGGGATTCCCCTGGAACTGGAGTTACAGATGACGGTTGTTAACTACCATGTGGGCGTGGGAATCGAACCTCAGTCCTCTGCAAGAGCTGATCAGTGCTCTTAACCACCGAGCCATCTCTCCAGCCCCAAGATGGTATTTAAACTGAAGCACTAACTGGAGGGATGGAGACATTAGGAAAAAGAAAGCCAGTTTGGGTCTAATTGAATGTAGTCTCTGAACTAGGAGGAATGAAAAATAGCTCCCAACATTTCTAATTCACCAGCTCAGCTTCTTGGATGGTAATACCATTCTCGGAGATAAGAAAGTAAACAGGGGTAACTTGAAGTGGAGGAAGGGTTGATGAACTGAGTTTTGAACACACTGATTTGCATAGTCAGACTAAAATACCATAACGATTTGGCACTCCTCAGTATGAGGTAGAACTCATGGGAGCAGTTCAGACAACTGCAGAGTATGAGGCAAAGTGAGACAAGAATTCTGTAAAGAGCAGATAGATCAGAGAAACAGTCTAAAAGGTCTAAAAGTCATCAGAGGAGACATGAGATTAGTCAAGAAACCCAACGGACGAGAGTCTGGAGAAGCATAACAAGACCATCCAGGCCCATGCTACACACAGTCCATCTGTCATTAGGACAGACAGCTTTGTTAAATCGAAACCCACAGAAGTTCTAGTAACTTGGTTAAAATAGTTAAGTAGCGTGATCATATAAAATACAATACATTGGCAAAATAAGAATCTGTAACAGTGTGCCTAATTCAAGAGACATTTTAAGGCAATGAATAGTCATCTGTCACATTCTGAATAACATAGATATTTTATTTTTATCTGATTGAAAACATTTCCTTATTAAATAGAAGAAGTTAAACATTTTCTTACTAAGGGTCATTATTATGAATATTCATGCCGTGAAAGATTTTAATGATAATCCCAAGTAACACTGCATTAATAAGCTTTTCTGGTGGATGTTTCCATTGCTCCTCAACAACTGTCAGTTAGTTTTCAGCAACTGTCAATCAGTCTGGGTCTAGGTACCATGATGTACTCTTTCTAATCTGCTATTTATTTTAGCCACAGCAAAAATCAACATTGCCAAAGTGATATATTTTGAGAATAACCTTTTAATATGAGTGCTCAGAAATCTATCGATATGTTTGAATCATGAAGATAATTCAGTTCTTACTTAATGGAATAAAATGGCAGAATGCATGCAATTTCTACATATGTTTTTCTTGCCCCTACCCCACACACTCTATTCTTGGTGAGTTCAAATCATTCCCTCATTTCCTCATTCATCCTTTACTTTTGATCCTTTATGTTTCAAGACTACGCTAAGCAAAGGTTATAGGAAAATGAATGAAATGCCATCCCAGCCCAGGGAAAGACACTGCCTTGTGAGGAAGCTCAGGAAATGATAGAAATAAAACAATAGGAAAGTAAGTAATGGCATTATGTCAAATACTTGACTCTCTAAGCAGCACCAGACTTTTTCACACATAATTCACATCTCCTTTTCCTCTACCTGAAATTTCCCCCCAATTCCTTATGCTTCTGGTGAACTCTGTTCATTTTTCTATTTTGGGACAGGGTTACCCTGTAGCCCCAGCTGGCCTGGAACTCACTGTATAGACCAGGTTGGCTACAATCTCACAGAGATCCACTTGCCTCTGCCTCCTGAATACTGAGATTAAAGGAGTGTGCCACCATACACGGCTTCTGTTGTTAATGTTCCCTTGTCTCAGAGTAATCTTTTACTTTCCTCTTCAAGTTTTCCTGACTTTATTCTTTGATAACTATTAACAGGCATGTTTAAAACCCCATAAACAAAAGCAAACATGTTTTTTGTCACAGTTTGCTTGCTGGCTTGCTATGTGCAGTGCTGAGGATAAACCCAGGGCTTTGCCCAGGCTAGACAAATGCTCTACACTGAATTATGTCCTTAGGCCTTGTCACTGTTTTAAAGTGAATGTCCTATTAAACTGGAGAGATGGCTCAGCGGTTAAGACCACTGGCTGCTCTTGCAGAAGACCTGAGTTTGAATCCCAGCACCCACACGGCAGCTGACAACCATATGTAACTACAGTTCCAGGGGAGACAACACCCTCTTCCGACCTCTGTGTGCATTGCACGACGTAAGTACACTTACATACATGCAGACAGTGTACTCATCCACAAAAAATAAAAAGAATACGGAAAAATTTTAAATGTGTGTTCTACTATTGTTTTGATATGCTGATACCAACAGATCAGGAGACAAATGAGTTGAGAAGGATTTGTTTCCCTTGGTTCCTAAGAGGGACACCACACCAAACAGAGCTTCTAAGGGAAGCACCCCCTGAGTCAGGATGAAAGGGGAAAGGCAGAGAAGAGCCTTTACTGTGGTTTTCTGTAGAAGGAATAAGCTAAGAAGGATAAGCAAGCTTGGGATGGAATGGCCTGGTCAACTTCATTGGACTCTGGCCTATTGGACACTGCCCCTAGTTTCCAGTCTCCTTGTCCAAAGGAGAGAGGTCAGAGGAGTACAGCTGTGAAGGCCCTCATAATGGGCTTTGGATGATGTGATCACTCACATTCAACTGAGATTTTTTTACTCTCTCTGATAATTACCTAACTAAGAAGGGCAAGAGTCCTAGAACCAATAAGGCTTCAGTGGGCCAAAGCATCAGAATTAAAAGACATAAAATACAGATACTATATTGAAATTCTTTTCAAAGTAATACAACTAGGTACTAATCACTTAGTTTGGACTATTTATGTCATAGAAAGCTTTTGGAAACTGTGAAGAAAATACTGAGAGAAGCAGCTAAAAGGCGATCCAAAGATTTATTTTGACAGAGTTTGGGGGCTTCAGTGCAAGCTGATACGCAATCCTTCTGACATATAATTTTGGGGGGAGGACACCATATCCAAACCACCATAATCTATTAGCTACCACTTAATCCAAACTAATATGATACTTTTTCTTCCTCCTTTGCTTCTTCTCCTTCCTCCATGCCTCCCTCCCTCTCTCCCTTCTCTCTGACTCTGCTCCTTCCCTTTTGTCTCTCCCTGCTTCCTGTTCTCCCCGTGTCTCCTTTTATAACTTTCTACTCTTTTTTCTTCTTTCCATCTCAGAAAATATTATTGACATGCCTACTGAGAGCCATGTACCATTCCAGGTGCTTCTCATGTCATCTTCACAGAATCATGGGAAGTAGGATGAACTAGTCCCCTTTCATAAATTGAACACAGAAAGGTTAAGTAACTGCCCATGTCACAGACAGTAGATCTGCTGTTCAAAGTAAAGTTTGCGTATGAAGTCTTTCTACTCATTATCATAAAACATACAGCATAGACTATCACATTCCCAGAAAGGGGTATATTTGAATCTCAGTATCATCTGAGAATTAAACTTCTGTGTCAGATAGATCCATAACAAATTGAGTACTTGGGAAACTACAATGACATTTCATTCACTCAATTAACAAATACTTATTGAGAACATGATTTTTATTATATGTTCCATAATTATGTAGCTCCATGACATTAAAGAAATACCCAATCTAAGTCTTGGTCATCTGTCTATCACCTACCTATCTATCTCTCTATCTATCTATATCTATCTATCTATCTATCTCTCTATCTATCTATCATCTATCTCTTTCTCTCTCAATACACATTCACACACACACACACACACACACACACACACACACACATTAGTGAATGTGATGGTTACTATTGTCAACTTGAGAGATTCTATAATCATCTGGTAAATGGGTCTCTGAGCATGTCCATGGGGGATTATCTTGATTGTATTAATTGATGCAGGAACACTCACCTTAGCTGTAGGCCAGACTGTTCTCTGGGTCGGGTCTCCTAGGCTGTAGGATGGAGAAAATGAGCTGAGCACTAGTATACCTTCACTGTCTGCTGCTTCTTGACTTTGGATGCAAAGGGATCAGCTACTTTGTGCTCCTGCTGCTCTGACTCCCCACCATGATAGACTGGGCCTCAAAGTGTGAGCCAGAATAACCGTTTCTCCTTCTAATTGCATTTGTCAGGGTATTTTCTCACTACTGCAGGAAAAGAAACTAGAAAGTAACGTTAACTGTGAGTGTAACACACTTGTTTTTTTTTTAAATGTATTAGTTCTTTGGGAATTACAAACAGTATATTTTGACCATATTTCCACACTTCCCCAACAACTCCCAGATTGTTCTCCAACTCCATAGCCACCCAACTTCAAGTCCATTTTTTTCCCATTGAGTCCGATTTGTGTTGCCAAATACTCTTGAATGTGGATCCCTCCCTGGAGTGTGGTTGATCTACCTGGTGTCACACCCATACTCTTAAATAAAACTGACTTTTCTTCTCCCAGCAATTATCACATGCTAATAGTTCTTAGCTAGGGGTTGGGCGTTATGCCCGCCTCTCTCCTCCATGCTGGGATTTTGTCTTTCTTAAACGTCACTGGGTCTTGTGCATGCTGTCACAATTACTGTGAGTTCATATATGCAATTGTGCTTCTCTCTGGAAAAATTTTATTATAGTCATAGACCACATCGAGCTTTTATAATCTTTCTACTCCTTCTTCCTGTGAAGATCCCTGATCCTTGAGAAAAGAGTTGTGATATAGATGTCCCATTTAGGACTCAGAACTTCACACTCTCATATTCTCTGCACATTGACCAGTTGTAGGTCTTTGTGCTAATTGCCCTCTCCCACAAGAAGCTTCTCTGATGAGGGTTAAGACATGCACTAATCAATAGGTATAGCAATATGTCATTGGCAACCATATTAATATAATTTCTATTTAGTAAAATATTAGTAGATTCTCCCCTATGGTCTGTGGCCTATGTAGCCACGGGATCTTGATCCTGATAACAGTGCCAGGTATAGGGTACATCTTGTAGAGTGGATCTCAAATCCCAGTCACAGATTACATGGTCACTCCTATAACTTTCATGCCACCATTGCACTGGTGAGCATATCTTGCCAAGGCAGCTGTTTTTACAACTCACAGGATTCAAGATGGGTCAGGCTGATGATTACTTTTCCCTCCTAGAAGCTTGCATAGCACCTTCCAGTACTATGAATGCTAACCAGTAGGGGGAGGCTCTGAAGTCAACACCACCTTGAGTTCTCCTTGTTTGCTCTATGACACATATGTATTGTCTTCAGCAATCAGGTCTTACTGTCAATACAGTTGTGAACCTTTTGAGCTACAATAATGACGGGGCTGGCACGATATGCCCACTGGTTCAATAGGGTCAAGAATGTTAAGGATGTGACCAATTTTTGGCCTTAATGTCTGTAGTATTGTCATATTCAGAAATATCTTTCATTTGCCTATAAGTGCCAATGTATTTTTTACTTTTTCCTCTATCAGATTCAGGGTATCTGATCTTATGTTAACATTCTTGATCCATTTGGAGCTGAATTTTATGCAGGCTAAGATATAGATCTATTTTTTCATTCTTTACATGTAGCTATCCAGTCTGACTAGCACCTTTTGTTGAAGATGCTGCCTTTTTTGGCCCCTTTGTCAATGGCTGAAATTGAGTGTACTCAGGTTTTACATTGCAAATAATCCATAGGCTTTGGCCACCCATACCATGGATGACAAAATGTAAAATCAGCAACTAAAAGCCTAGTGGTTTCTGAATAATAAATGATACCCAAGCATCAACTAAATATAAATTTGTTATTGATAAGCATTAATCTGAAGAGTCTTGCTCTAAATGATATTCCAGTGGTAGAGTACATTCCTAGGTATTAATTCTTTGTCACAATCCTATAGGCTATGCCAGGCATGGTGGCAACATGCTTTTAATCCCAGCAGTAGGGAGGGAGAAGCAGGTAGACCTTTGTGAGACAAAGGCCAGCCTGGTCTACAAAGTGAGTTCCAGGCCAGCTTACTCTACAGAGAGACACTGTCTCAAAAGAAAACATCATATAGGCTATAATTACAATAAGGAAATTAAAACATCAATGTCATCTTATAAAGCTTCAAATTCTTTCTTATTTCTAGGTCGGAGCTATATGTGGGAAGCACGGATTATATCTAACCTTGAGCCTGCTGGAAACACTGCTTAACCACCAAGATTTAGGTTACCAAGGTGAAATTAAGTAAGTTGAATTTTGATGTTTGTGTCCCCCTTCATCTCCCAAATAATAATAATAATATGGTAAAGTCCTAACTCCCCATGTAATGATTCTAGGGCTGAGGCTTTGACCACCCATACCATGGGTGACAAAATGTAAAATCAGCAGGTAACTAAATTAAAAGTCATGAGAGCTGAACTCCATGATGGAGTTTGTACCTTAAAAGAAGAAAAGACACTATGACTTCCTCTCTCTACCACAGAAAGATACAGCAAGAAGGCAGTGGCCATCTACAAGCCAAACTAAATCTGTCTGCCATCCCAGAACTCTGAGGAAAAATTTGCCTAATGTTAAAGACTGTTGCCAGCGTGTGCCACGTGTGAAACTAAAGCACTTTTATCCCCTTTGTCTTCTTTAGGAATCCAAACACAGAAATCTGTCTTTAGAATATAAGTTGCATGTGTGAACTAATCAATTTCAACTGTTCACCAGTTAAGTTAAAGAATGTTTGCTTTATTAACGGCTGTCTTCTGACTCCCACCTATGAATAGGCATACACACACAAAATAAATATAATTTTTAAAAATTTAAAAAGATCAAAAGGTCTTTGTGGTCATAGGAAGGAAACATCTTTTTTTTTTTTTTTTGAGACAGGGTCTCCCTGTAGCCCCAGCTGGCCTGGATTCCCTATGGAGACCAGCCTGGCCTTGAACTCACAGAGATCTGCCTGCCTCTGACCTGTGAGTGCTAGGATTAAAGGCGTGTGTCACCACACCTGGCAGGAAACATCTTTTAGATGTTGCAAACCACCAAGGAATATTTCTGCGAATCCTTAAGAAATGGATAACAAGACAAATCAGATGAGAAAAATGCTTTCAGAGACTATCAAGCATCATCAAGCCATGACTCTTGAGAAAAGAAACCAATGAGATTGGCTTGGCTTATTGCACAGAAAAGGAGAAATCAAACAGGGCCCGGAGTCCTCCCTGAGACAAGGAGATGGAGTTCAAGGTCAGGATGACCAGGAAGGATACAACACACCCTAGTGAGAAGACAGGGCATACATCCACAGGAACTTCTCCCTGGGGAGTTTAAAAAGTGGTCTGTAAGGCTTCATATGAGTATTGGTTTGTGTTGCATTTAGGAAGCTATCCACAGCAAGGGACGGAAACACTAAAAGGAAGTGATAGAAAATGTTTCAGGGCTCACATAGTTTGGGGAATAGTTCATAATTTTAGCAGCCCGTAAAAAAACACATCCTAACATATGTGGTACTTAGAAGAGTTTTTCATTATATTAGGGCCAAATTACCCTAGACAAACTCCACAAATTCTAAAATCCTCCCAAAATAATAATTAAAAAACTTATAAATCATCAAACTATTTCCCAACACCTTAGCCACGTCCAAGAACAAAGTTCCCTTGTTTAGAAAGGAACAACATCGAAATTGCTCTTACTGTCTTTGTGCTTGCTCCCTTGTTCATCATTGCTTAACCACCTCCTTGCCATCCTCTAGCAACCATTCAGAGTTCTAATCCCCACCACTTATTCCTTCTTCCCCTGAACCTGCTTTCTTTTTGTTTTATCTCATCTTTTTTCACATTTTCATAAATATATATTTCACATTGAACACTACCCTGTATCCCCTCCACTTCTAATAAATTAAACAATTTGCAGATTTAGCATGCCTCTTGTCATGCCGTGTCTCTCTGACAGACAGTAAACTATAGAAATATTGGGCAAGCAGGATCTTTAACTAATAGACAGTAGACTACAGTGCAGCAGGCAAGCAGGGTCTTTATCTAATTCAGTGCTGCATCTCAAACATTGTAATTATTAGGATGATAAATATTTATGTACTTGAAGTGAATTAGTGAAGGAATAATTCCAAAATATTTTCAGTCCCTAGCTCATGTCAAACTGGAGTAGCCTTCCCATCCCATCAAAATTGGCTCTATTTGTTAAACACTTTTAATAGCACCTAACCCCACAACTACTTGTAATCATGTATTTATCTGTGTGGTTTGTTAATTAGTGCCATGCAAGGATCCCTCTACTGGCAAGGGGCACAACTGCTTTTCTCATGCTAAATGGTTGTAGCATATAACCCACTATGTGGCACATTGGAGGTACACAGCTTATTTGATGAGCTCATTGATTCATTCATTTAACAAGTATTTGCTAAGAGCTACTATATACCAACCAGTACTCTAGACACTGGGAAGACAAACGTAAGAAAAAAAAAAGTCCTTTCCCCCATGAAGGGTATACTCTAGAAGGGGAGAAAAAGCAAAGTTAGAATATATGGTGTTCTTCTCTTTATGAAGACCAGCTCTTCCTTATCCAGCAGAAATCAGCTGCCAATAATCCTTCAAGGAAGATTGGGTCCTGTTGCCCATTTCCACAGTCCTCTGCTGGCTTTTTGTGTGTTTGAGATTGCATGGAAAGGCTGATCTTCTTAAGGGGAGGGACTCTAGAAGGGGACTAGAACTCAGTGGATGAATTGTACTGAGGGACGTCTAGGGACACTAACTTGTCATGATAGGCCTTTCACACAAATGACAGAATGCAGAATTCCAGAGGGGGGAGGAGGTGCTGTGGGAGGTTGCCAATGGGGAAGGGAATATAAAGATGACTAAGATGGTCTGTATGAAATACATGAAAATTCAAAAACATTCCATGAAAGGAATTTATGGTGTATCACAGGTCATAAGAACAGCATAGAAAAGTGAGGTGGATAAAGGCTATGGAAACAACAGTGAGTAAGTAAATAGGTCAGCAGTTCACATCTAGCACATGACATTCCACTGAGCCAGCTTTGAACATGAGGACTTTCTTCCAGGTGATTAAGATCAGGAAAGTGAGATAGAGGCCTAGTAGAAACCAAAAGAATATTCCAAAAGTGACTCTAGTCTAACAGAAGTAAAATCAAGTCCCAGACCTCACATTCTTCCTAGGACACAGTAGAGACTCCACTGATCCTTGCTGATTAGAAATTGGGCCCCAGAGCTAACGTTGTAGGATCAAAGACATGAGACATGGGAGAGAATTTAGGCAGGGTCTTCAATTTTCCACCTTCTTTGTCAGATCAGAGAATCACTATCTTTGACCTTAGAATAGTCTAGGGCACCAAAACCATTAGAATCAAAGAAGAACTGCGTTTATAGGAGATAAACCTGTTTCATCTTTAAACAGTCATTGGCTAAAGCTTCTTCTGCTGAATGAAACCCATTCCGTTAAGGGCTTTGTATGCAAACCTATATCCTTAAGAGATTAAAGATGTAATTTAGACACACATTTTAGGAGCTGAATGCACGAATCATTATCTTGGTACATATTGTCCATTAATCTGCTGTTCAATTGGAAACCCATTTGGAATGTGGCTGCCTGCTAATTAGCAGGATTCTAGTGCTGAGCTACTTCCTGATTAAATGTCCTTTAGAATCAATAAAACATCAGGAGGGATTATGGTGATGTGGGATTAGCCCCATCTAACCAAATAAAATGAGTTTTGTTCCCTTCTTAAACTGGCATGTTGCAAGAGCTGACAAGAGGAACAATTTTGTTGGCTCTGTAACAAAGTATATTTTTATATGTAATATTTTTAACAGTGAGATTTTGTTTTCTGCCATGTTCTTACCAATTAACAGAGGCATTAGTGAATGACTGCCAGGCAGGATAAGGCAATTGTGAGAAAGACTTGATTATGATTTCTAATCTCTACTCTGAATCACTCTATGTAAAATGAGTTCAGGTTGTGTTGGATGGAAATTATTATCCTTGTTTTTGGCGAGGGACCTGGAACTCAGAATTCACATTTAATGTTTCTGTGTGACTTTGTAATAAATGGTAATTAAGGATGTACAGAGAGAACAGGAGGCAAACTAATACTCTAAAACTGTATTGGCAAAGTTCAATCTTAAACTGGTTTAAAACACATGCACACAAGCCAAATTGTGTTGGGGGAGGGTGATAAATAATGACACCACTATAGAAGCTTCCTGAATAGAGTGGAGCAATTGACATAGCCACAAGCAGGACTTACCATACTCATCTGGCCCATTATTGAGACAGCAATTAGATTGAAAAGGACTGATTTTGCTGATGCCAGGCACAACTGAGAATTTTAGGAGATTAAAGAAACATGAGGTGTCTGATTATTACTTTTCAAAGGGAAGAGAAAAAACTGTTATGCAAACAGATATTGAGATGTGCTGAGGTATGCCCATTGGCTCAGCGTTAGAAATCAGACCTGGCTTTCCTCTTCCACATTCTAATAATGTTGATGTCCATATAAATAAACTTATCATTCATTGCAAACATTCATAGTACTTAAAATATTCCATGCAAATTTCCTGTGGCTTTCTTATATATTAACTTTTAATCCTTGTGGAAGCCCCATTTTTCAAATCAGAAAACAGAGAGAAAGCAGAAGCTACATGTAATTGATAAATGGATTAGTAATAGGGCTGAGTCAAATACAGCCCCCACTTCAGTCTGAGCCCTTTGTCACCATACCGTAGCAATTTTCCTATGTGTCCTACAGTACTGAGATGCATAGGTGTGGCCCCAGGCCAGGAGCTATGGACCAACAGTCCAAGTACCAGAGTTCATCCTTGGGTTTGGTTCTGGACACAGTTTAGAATGTGAGGAGTCTGTCTGGGATACTTTCCCTTTGCTGATGCCTCAGTCTTAGATCACCAGTCCAGAGTCTGTGAACTTTATCGTGCAGCCTGCCTTAATCTATTTGTGCTTCTGTAACAAAACACCATAGAATAGATGGCTTATGAGCTACAGATACGACTTTCTCACACTTCAGGAAATCAGAAATCCCGTTTTCTCACTGTGACCTCACATGAGAGAAAGGATGAAGGGTCTCTTGAGCCTCTTTCATAAGGAAACAACCCATTAATGAGAGCTGTATCCTTAGGACCTAACCACTTTTTAAAGGCCCTCCCTCCCATTACATTGTGGGTAAAGATTTCATTATACAAATCCACGGAAACACAAATATTCAAGCTATA